GCAGAATCTACCCAACCGAACAAACTTCAGTACTGACAGCTGAGCAAGTCTTCAGACTTCCTGTCACAAATCTAGCTGCCCAGACACAGGTGTGAAAACTGCTCTTCATCTCACAATAGCCTGGGAACACCAAAACTATATCATAATTAAAAATAGCACAGAGGCAGGTTTTTCCTTGCATCAATCTTATTGTCTTCTGTGCAGGAACCTGGGATACACTTAAAACTTCCCAGCTTTGATTATCTTTATCACCCTATGAAGAGTGGATTTTTCATCCTTCCTCTTTAGAGGTACACCAAAGTTTACAGGGTTGCTGTTCCACAAAAGGGCATTTGGCTTCAGTTGCGGTTTGGTTGCACATAAATTGTTACAGAACACTATTAAACAGTCTTGATAATGGTTCTGATCAGAGGTTTGCCTCCAATATCAGCGTAAAGAGAAGAGTGATACTGTATCAACCTAACTTTGACAGGAAGCGTGTCAACCAGAACTGCATTTTGAAAATACAGCAGCAAAAATCTTCAAGAAAATGTCACAGCAGGATACCTTATGCCCCCACGACTGCTAATGAAAGGCAGTTGGAGTCAAGGAGGAGTGCAGCTCTGGGGAGATTTCAGAAGCACGTCTGTGAGGATGCTCTGGAGTCCCTGACTTTGGAGGGGAACAGATACGTGCTGCATTTGCTGCCAGCACCACTTGTCTCTTAGCAGTGGAGCTTAGGGCATGTTGTATTCAAGTGTCTCCATCAGCTATGTTGGGCTGTCTTCATGTCCTTGTGACAACCATCAGGACAAGAGTCCAGGCATCAGTGTCCTGGAGCAATATCTAATATTCAGCACTGAAATAATTATTCTGTTGGCTCACTTAACTGATCCAGTCTAAACGTCAGAGATGCCTTCTGTCAAAAGTGGGGTGATTGAAGTGATTTTTAGGGACAGCTAAAATAAACTGAAAGGGTAAGAAACCAATCACTGACATGATACACCATGCAAAAAACAGTGTGAAAGCCTCCGACACAGCAGAATTCAGGAAGCTGAAGGGAGTAGCTCTGGCAGAGATATTTTGAAACTGCCTGAGATTATGAACAAGGTTAAATTAATGCTGCATAGCAGGAAATGCTCTGAGGAAATGAGGCATAGTGAGTACAGGAAGCAACACCTGTGGCACCTGTAACCAGTAATTACTGTGCAAATTGGACTAATTTCTCACTGTCTGCCAACTGAAATCTTAATCTTTGTGCACTGAATTAAAGGAAAATTCTATCACCTTGTAACCCTTGCAAGAAAAATGTTCTTCTTTGTACAGCTGCACCCTTGACCAGTGAAAAATTACCTACCTATCTTGAGATAAAATGCCAGCTATGTAGAAGAATTCCAGTGGAAAAGCCTCTCTGTAGTGGGCTTGTAACAGCATTTGCCCTTAAATGGTTTACTTTTTTACTCCATCTTTTTTTGATGACCAGAAAGCTGGAATCCTTGGAGATTAAGTAAAGTCACTAATTTATTTTTCTTTCCTTTTTCAGGAAAAATAGAAGTGTGGCATTATCCCATGTGTTGCCTGCTCAACCTTGGGATGGTGGAGCAACACCATAGGTACAAGTTGCTCAGGACTACTGAAGAAAGTTCATTTTCTAGAGAAATTTCTGCAACTGTTTAAGCACTGCCACACCACTGCAGGCCAGAGGCTTAAGAAACTCCTGTTTTCAGGCAGTGGATGTTCAATATGTACCGTACGCAAAGATGCTGCTGTGAGGTCAATGTCAGGATGCTCATCTATTTGTGTAGGACAGCAGGGCTGCCCTTAATTTGCTCTACTGGATTACTGAAGAAATAGATAAGAAGTAGTAATTTCTTATCACTAAGAAGTAACTACTTGTATCTCGCATGAACTAATTGAGAATTAAAAATAACTGATTCAGAAAGAGCTGCAAAATGCAGAGGGGTCTGAAAAACCTGCATCTCAGAAAAAGGCTAAATCACAGCCTGTTACAGCCTATTCAAGTGAGGGTGGTGTGGTAACCCCAGTGAGAGCTACAGCGTAAGCAGCATCCCCCAACCAGCTGCTGTGAGCTTAATGTAACAGACAGAACACACAAAGCTGGAAGAGAGCTGGATAAAATATAAGTACTCTTAATCTGTTCTATACCAAGAGATATGAATGAATTCTTATCATGTGAGTTTTTTAATATGAGGCTGCATGTCATTTGGTGAAACAGTGTGTTCTGCCTTAGCCAGGTTCTTTGGATTTGGTGTAGGAGGCTGTGGAGGAAATTTTCTGGTCTGCCTTCAGCCAAATGAACTGGAAAAATTGTATGAAAAAGGCAAGTGTCCAGTTGAGAGGGGACAAATGGAAAGTTCCTTCTTTTGTTAGAATTAGAATAGACTGGGATGGGACAGGAAATAATCACCTGAAAAATAAAGCTGGTCAATGCCTGGCTCAGTAGCAGCTCTTTAGAAGAGGATCTATGCACTCATTCAACGTCTAAGAGGGCCAGAATTCAGGAAAATCCAATTGGTGTGAGAAAGCAAATATGTGGGGCTGAAGAGAAGCCCTGTCCGTAAGCCAGGGGAAATGTCCTTTCCAGCACCCTCGCCTCTGGCCAGGCCAAGCAGGAGCAGTGTCCAGGCAGGGGACACAGGAGAGACGGAGCACAGGAGCAAGAAACGCAGCCTATGGAGGTAACACTGAGATACAAAATATTTGGTCACAGGGAAAGTAAAAGATGTCATCAGCAGAAATATGTCTAATGTTCTTCGAATACACATGGTGTACACCAGACAAGTCTTTGTTCCTACTTCTTCATGTCCACTTAGAATATTTTAATCTGTAATTATGGAGCAAATAATACGAATCTTTAAGATCCCTTCCAATCCAAACCATTCTATGATTCTATGAACTCTGCAGTGATGCTGGTTGGCTATGGCAGTTATCAGCACACCAGCCAGAGGCAAAGCTCTGAGATAAGGCCATATCTGATGTTCAGAGCTCAGTTTGTGGGAAAGATTGCTGTGGTGAGTGGAAGAAACAGTTAAACCAAACCCCAGGCTGCTCAGGACCTGTGGGGAAATTCTGCATCTCTGGCTGAAAATCAAATAACCTGCTTCTCAGAAAAACAGTGCTTCAATGTTTTTCTACATGATGTTAAGTGGCACTGCTTTTGCTGTTTAATAAATCTCTCTAGAAAATGTCACTCACTATAAAATTATATATTTTGAATAAAAGCTAAAGTCTCAGCATGCATAATATATTATTCTTGTGTCTGGGCCCATAGCTTTTTATCCCAAATAGGAAATAAAGCAATATCTGAATAGAAACTTCTTGAGCGTTCTGAAATTCTCAGCTGGCACCACCCACCACATTGCAGACTGCAGGATTTCAGCTCTTTTCATTGAATACATATAGTGTATAAATAAACTTGTATGTATATACATAACTATAAGCCCTAGGCATATGTACATTGCACATGATGGTACAATTGGTCTCCAATAGAGCTGTGTGTACAATGGATGCCCCCTAAAACCTAATCAGGCTTGCCCTAGGCTCCATGCAGGAGCAGAGCCCTGAACTGGCTGCAGCCTGTGGTGAACTGCAGCCATTCCTTATGGTCACCTGTGGGATATTCAATATACAGATCTGGATCTCTGGATGGAGGCTCATCCTCACCTGTCCAAGAAAACTTACCCACTACCTAATGACTGACCCTAGGACCCATACCCTGGTCCCAGCTGGCTTGGTCCTTGCTCACCTGTAGTTACATGATCTGTGTTGACTGAAAGTGAGATACCAAGGGAAGCCTTGCACAGATGCATCCCAAGAGATTCTTCTTAAGGCTTCTCATGAGACCCACTGCCATTCTCCTGATGAACGTTGCACTGATCACAGACAGAATGCTTGTAATTTCATGTTATTTATCTATGTTTCTTGTTCAGAAAACCTAGGCCTTGTCTGACCACATAAAAAATCCCACACCTGAGGTCACCTACTCCAGTACTTTCCCATCCTGGGTGTCCTCGTCATTGCAAAGACTGTGAAGATTCTGTTCAGTGGAGATCCTTGGGGCCCATCTGACCTCTGGGAAAGCAAATGGCCATACACCATGGTTCTTGCCGACTGGGGAGGCTCATGGATAGGTAAAGTCAATGTTAATAACTAGCACCTTCTGCTTATCCATGAATACATCTGTCTTGGTTTAACCTCAACTGGCAACTAAGTACCGTGCACCTGCTCGCTCACTCTATCTCTCCGCAGTGGGAAAGAGAGGAGAATTGGTAAAAATCTGGGGGTTAAGAATTTTTTAATAATTAAATAAGATATAATATAATTCTAATAATAATGAAAAGGGAAATAATAAAAAGAGAGATATTAAAAACCAAACAACTAAAAAGCCCCAGCAGTAATGCCCATTATTGTTATTCACCACCTGCTGCTCAATACCCAGCCCAATCTGAGCAGCAATCAGTTCCTTCCAGGTAACTCCCCCCAGTTCATATACTGGGCATGATGTGCTGTGGTATGGAATATCCCTTTGGCTAGTTTGGGTTAGGTGTCCTGTCTGCTTCCTCCCAGCTTCCTGTGCCCCTCCCCAGTGGCAGAGCATGAGACTGAAAAGTCCTTGATTGGGGTAGGTGCTACTGAGCAACAACTAAACCATCAGTGTGTTATCAGCATTGTTCTCATATTAAAGCCAAAACACAGCACTGTGCCAGCTACTGGGAAGAAAAATAACTCTACCCCAGCCTCCCAGCCAAAATTAGAACAAGGTCTGTCCCTCGCCAGTGAAAAGGGAAGTCCAGTGTTGTCCCCAGCTTCTGACCATAGGCATTGACCAGCAGCGGTAACCCAGCCTCGCCAATACCTCTGCAGCACATCTACTGGCAGACCACCACTGTAGGAGGGAACCCCGGGCAAAGACGTCCCTGGCCACCACCAGTCCCAGTGCTAGGCTGTGCTGGAGCCACTTTCTTGGACCAGAGAGAAAGTAGGAGATTGGGTCACCCTTTTTCGCTGCTTTTCTGCAAACACGACCAAGAATCTGTCTTGAGATCTTCAACTGATGGCTGCTCTGCAGCAGGGCCTGACCTTTCCCCACACTGACAGCTTCTTGTCATGTTCTAATTGGAAATTCTCATTTTGTTTGTGTAGCACTGGAATTGCAAACATCTTACTTATTCAAACTTTCTAAACTGTTGTCACCTTCTGAAGTGTTTTGTCTGGAGGAAACATTGAGGTTTATTTTCTTTGTAATCCACTTAATGATGAAGGAACACAAACAGGTGGTTTTCAGAGATTTTTAAATGCAAGATGCATATGTCTTGCTGTCATAACAGTTTGTCTCATTATATGGAATAAAATTCAAGGAAGTTGATGTATTGCTTACAAAGGAAGCAACAACAGTATCAAGTGATGCAGTCCTGTTCAGTAATATTGTTATAACTTCAGGAATTTGGTTGCCTGAATATCTAAAATTTCAACTGAGGCCAACACAATAATAATAGTATTAATTATTTTGTTATAAAACAAGCAGCGTCTCTGTGCCTTTTGTATCTTTTTATTGTTTTATAGCCTTAAACATCTATTTACTAATGCTTTGTGCTTTATGAGGTTGAAAATATAATGTTCCTTTTCTCTTTGTTTACTTCAGCTTTTTCTGTTTGTTTTCTGCTCACTGATCTATTTTTTTCTTTTTTTCCTTTCACCCTGAGACTTTCCAATACTTCAAGTCACATAGATCACCTGGATTATCACATATATCATCTGCACTTCTCTTCAAAATTCAGCTTCATCTGAAAACAGCAGTAAAAGAATCATCCATGGCCTTTGAGGTGTTCTGCCTTTGCTGAATCATGAAGCTTTAAAGCATGCTCTCAGGGGCAGCTCTCATACCTGCCTGAACCCCCAGGTTTGCAAACAGGTTTTTGCATAATTTTATTCATTTGTTGTACAGGTGCAGGTGTGAGTGCATGGTGGGGCAGGCCGGTGGGCACTGGCAGTCCTGCAGGAGATGGGTGACATGGGCAGCTCTCCCTCAGCCTCGTACAGCTTTGGAGCAGGAGGTGAGGCTCATCAGGCACCTTCTGTGGAGCCTGGCTCAGCACCCAGGCAGATGCCTGTACAGACCTTGGTACAGAGGGTGGGAGCCTGGCTGGATACCACTGGGAAGCATCACCCCTGCCCTGTGCAGTCATGATACCACAAGGCTTCCAGCTACCTACCAGCACTGCTTGAACAATGCAAGCACTCATCTCTTGTGGTAAGATAACTCACAAGCACAAAGGTAAGAAAATACAATACCAAGATATGCAGCAGGGAGACTGGCATGGCTGGGTATAAAGTGGTTTAGAAGTCCCGAGTGTACAAGGCTCAGATGAACAATGTATTAGGCAAATGTGTTAAAGGGAGTTTCTGCAGTGCAACTTAGACTTCACCTAGTCTAATAGTGAAAAGCAAATGCTGCATACAAATGGGGTTTTTGCCTTCTTTACCCTGTGAATACCCTAAAATGTCTTTACATGGAAGTGAAAATAATCCATGGTGCCTTAGCACCCAAACCCTGCTCTTTCTGCACAGTGTAGGGAAGTGTGTTCCTGCTCGGTACTCACCTGAGTACGTGTGCTGTGTGCATCCGTAGCATTACAGTGTGAGTCCTGCCATCGGTGCAGAAACACGTGCTGCTCTGAACAAGGAGCAGTAAAGTTGCTGTGGCTGATGTTATTTGTCTTTTGCAGGCCATGTAGGTGATTTCTTCCCATGACTTCTGGGTAAAGAATGAAGGTGCAACTTCTGTGACAGCAAGGGTGAAAAGGCAGGCAGTAATGCTACCTGCTGGCTGTAATATTGATTTGAAGCCTTGCTGCAAGTTCAGAGGTCTTACTCAAGCATAAACACAAAAGAATGATTGTTTGAAATTTAGTAAGTGGTAATAACAGAGCTATTGCAAAGGCAACCAGCTTGACAGACCCTCAGCCTGCCCATAATATCCTACAACTCTGTCAGAGAAACCTGTCTGATGAGTGGCTCCCACAGCCTGAGGAGAACAGCTGGAAATGAAAGGCTTTTCAGGTAGGCTACAAGGGGATCCAGCTTTACTGCAAGTGAAGTAATTATGTTTTAATTACTCTGGGGCTACAATAAAAAGAAACTCTGGTGATGACAATTCTGTAACCATTGTACTGAGGATTCAGCTGGCACAGCTCTGTAAAACAGGATTAATTAACTTTCTGCCAGAAGCATGCTGTAATGATCTGTCCTATCTATCTTTAAGGGATGCTGTACCTCATCCTGGACAAGGTCGTTGCAGCTGTAGAGGGACAGTTGGTAAAATACTACTTGCAAGAATGTGTTGTTGGGTACCTGTCTTTTGTGGGAGCAGTGAGATGTTGTCTAGCAGCATGCAGTACCTACAGTTTGCACATGAAAGCCAGGTTTTAAATGCATTGAAGAATGCCCAAAACATTAACAATGGAGCTCAGGCTCATGTCTGGGCCTCTCACCCTCTATTACCCTTCTGTTTGGTGAGCCCAGGTTTCAGCCTGGTGACTATTCCCTGAGATCGTAGGTTTGGGGAAGTGCTACCAGCCCTCTTACATTTTCTTTTTTTCTCCATCTTTGTATTGCAAATGTGAGTTGGGGTATAATTTACCAACACAGATTAGAATAAAGAAAACCCGAAACAGACATCAACACCAAAAGCAAAATAAACAGATACGAAAATTGGGTAACTGCCACCACTTTTTGTCCTGGTTTTGGCTGGCATAGTGTTAATTTTCTTCTGTTTTGGCTTTAATCTGAGAACAATGTTGATATCACACCGACAGTTTAGTTGTTGCTCAGTAGCACTTACCCCAGTCAAGGATTTTTCAGTCTCATGCTCTGCCGGTGGGGAGGGGCATAGGAAGCTGTGAGGAAGCAGAGGCAGGACACCTGACCTGAACTAGCCAAAGGGGTATTCCATACCGCAGCACACCATGCCCAGTGTATAAACTGGCGGGGATTACCTGGAAGGGACTGATTGCTGCTCAGATCGGACTGGGTATTGGGAAGCAGGTGGTGAACAACAGTACTGGGCATCGTTTTTCTGTCATGGGTTTCATTTCTGTCTCATTATTTCCCTTTAAAAATATATATCTTATTATAATTATATAATATTTAACTTTATTTCAATTATTAAACTGTACTTATCTCAACCTATGGCTTTTTACTTGATTCTCCTCCCCATCCCACCAGGGGTGGCAGGGAGTGAGTGAGTGGCTGCTTGGTTCTTAGTTGCTGAGGGGGGTTAAACCATGACATTTTTACTTATCAGGTCAGGTCTTAATTTCAGTGCCTAGACATGATTAACAGGTGTCTTGATTACCATGCCAGAAATAAACCCTACTTTGCAGAGGCTTATGTTGAGAGGAGAGAAAGAGGAAGAGGAGACCTGAAGCAGCACCTCTCTCTGCATCCCTGGTTTTGTCTTTTGGCTGGACCATGGTGGGTCTGGAGAGGGGTTACTTATGCCAGGTAAGGGAATGGGTGCAGCATTACCCGAGTGACCCCCAGTTTCCTGGTGAGTTCATTGCCCAGAGGTCTGGTGTATTTAATACTGGCATAAAGTCCTTTCAGGAACGTCACTGGGAGAATTGCAGGTAATGAGATTACAGCAGAACCAAGTGTTTGTCCTTCTGTGCTGTGGGACATGAGGCTGTAAAATCATTTAGTGCAGAAAAGATTTTTCATTAATGAGATAAAGAGATCCAAGCAGAAAGCCTCTGATCTCACAACGTAATTCCAGAGGGTTGCCCTAATGGGAGGAATTGGGAGCAGAACAGTGCCCTATAGAAAAACCATAAACCTGTGCAATTAAAGAATGTGCAATCATGTACACCCATCAGGAACCAGGATGGGGAGTGAGGTTTCACTCTGTAAGCTTTAAGGACAGATTTTCTGCTGTGGAGATGGTGAGGGGGGAAGGAAAGGAGATTTTCTGCTCTAGAGGTTTCCTGTGCTCCACTTGCATTTTTCCTAACAGAGAGGACTTCTGTTTGGCACAGCTGTACAGCAAATTCCAGCACCCAGTATTTCTTTTTTTTCCAGGGCAAAGGATGTGACTTGCTTGCTTGCCCTTCTTATAGAACAAAATCCAGACCTTTCAATTTTATGAAGAAGAAAAAAGGATACTCAGCAGCCAACACTCTAGGACTGTCTGTATCCCATGGGCAGAGTACTTGGCTGTGATATAGGAGACTCCCATCCAAATCTGTGCATTGTGCCAGGCAGAGCCCTCACCACTGGTTTGCTCTATGGAGCTTTGGAGCAAGTGAGACTTCATTTGGAGTGGGAGAAAAAAAAGTGACATGATAAAAGAGTACTTTTTCTTGGAAAATATTTTGTTGCCATATATTTTAACTTTAAAAAAAAGGAAAAAAATCCCTCCCTAAACCATCATTTTACATAAAACATCCAACCCCAGTAGTTATTTTGTAAGAAAATGATTTTGCTTTTCCCAGTGGAAGAATCTCAAAGTACCAAACTGATGATGTGTGAAACTGTAAGAGGGCACTTTGAGAAGCATACCCAGACTCACCAGAATCCATATGGTGCCTTTCCAACCCAAAGAAAGCAGTGTGGGAAACATGGCCCATGTGCACCCATGGCTGGTGCTGCTTAGTGGCGCTTACAGGTGCCGGTGTGGGTACAGGGCTGCAGCTGCCGCATGCTGAGCAGATGGCTCTGAACACTGCAGAAAGCAAGAGAGTGCTCAGGGCTGTGTGAGGGTGCTCAGGTCTGCGCCATGCTTACCCAACTGCAGCGGGAAGCAGAAGTGCTGGACACCCTCAGACAAGTGCTTTACTTCCAGTGACCTTGCCTGACTCACTTCTAGTTTTGCTGGTGAATACAAAGAAATAGGGTCTTTGCCAGCAGCTTTGCAGCCTGAGTTCTGCTAATGAAGATACGCACGTGCATGGAAGAGGTGAAGGACATTTCCTTGGGTTATTGTCTGCTGATGTTGTCTCATGTAAGAGGCATAATTACAAGCCAACAGAGCAGCACCACATCCCTTGGCTCATTACAAACACAATTTGTCCAGGCAAGCCACTTGCAATGCAGGAGGAGCCTGAAAAGCTGTTAGTGGTCAACACACCTGCCACTGATACAAAAGGTAGAGAAAATGCTGCATTTTGTATTTGTTTGGTTTTTTTCTGAAAAACAACAACAAAAATAGTAACTTTTCTCCCTAGAATCTCACGATAATGTGAAACTCTGATCCTGTTACTTACTTGTTTCTCCTTCCTCTCTTTTAAAACTGCATTTTGTGGATTGGCATTTACAGGTGAAGTTCAGGAGCCACCAGTGCATCTCTTCCAGGGGGTGGCTCTGGTGGTGCATCCATGGCGGGCAGGGATGCGCTGACCTTGCCAGCCACATCCTCCAAGCAGAGCATGCTACTGGAGACTTCACCAATTGCAGCATTTTTTTCTGCTTTTCTCAGCAACAAATATTCCCAGGAGCTCTAGGGTGAAGGCAGAGACTGAGCTGAGTCCAAACAAGCTGCTACTCAGCTTGTACTTTCCCCTCTGCTTACTTCCCTCATGTAAAGCTACTTGGTGATCACCTCAGTTCATTAAAAATGTTCTCATTTACCTGTATTCTCTCTGGTTTGTTTTCTTTTTTCCCCATGAAAGGGAACTGGATTTCCTTCAGAAAGGTGCAAGGGGGTTTCTTTGTGGGTCTGTCCCTGATCACCTCTGCACAGCTGCCTGCAAATAGTCTGTTTTGGGAAGACCTGTTGTCTTAACTTTAAAAGGTTTCCACTGCTCTTCCCAACACCGAGTTTTATGGTGTTGGGAATAACTCTGCTTTTCCTCATCTCAATTAAAGCACAATAATTCAGTCTCTACTTAGCCTGTTAACTGTTCAGATTCACTACCTGGGCTTTATCCACAGATTAATGGATTTATAGGTTATAAAGCCAGAAGGGACCAGTGTTACTTTCTTCCTAACAGAGGCCTCAGGAGGTCCCTCGATGAACTCCAGACTGAGTTAGAGCACTGCTGAACAACAACAACAGAATCAGTCTTGCCCTAATTTAAAAATTCCCAGGTCCGTGGTAAGTTTGCTGGATTCTTAATTACTCTGATAAAGGAGAAGTGTGGCCAGCCCCTTGATATCTGTGCATCAGCTTCAACCAGCAGTGTGCTGACCTCCCTCAACCCCTGCTAAGCAGAAAATTCCCCTTTCACCACATTTCTGCTTCTTCAGGCTGTCTCCCAAGACTATCACGTGTCCCCTTCTCTCTCTCTCTCATCAGCAGTTCTACCAGGACAGGGGTCTGTTGCCTTCGATGGTGGATTTTGGCTTTTTCAGCATTCCTGTTCCCTCAAATCCTCCCTAGACTCCTGCACCTCTCCAGGATGGGAGGCAGCAGTGCCACAGGAGCCAGAAAGGTGTTTAGACTGCTCTGCTCTGACTTGGGGTGCTCCTGCACAAGGATCATTTGTCCTTGTCACCAGTACTGCCCTGGGAGCTCCATTTAGCTGATTACCAGCAAGACACTGCCACCCTTTTTAGCACGTATATCTCCCAGACTTGCTGACAAGTACCTTGCTCTCATCATGAGGCTGCATGTGGACATGTTGAAAAGATTATGTGACCATGCATTCCAGATTTCTCTGCCTCGGTTACTCAGCCTTTTTTGTTACTTACTGCTCCTCCGGTTTGCATTGTGTCAGCCCCAAATGCAGCAGTGGTCCCGCTGGGTTTGGTCCCTGGTCCTACAGCACCACTAGCCAGTGCCTGCTGGCACATGGGCAGCAGATCCCGCTCACCTGCTGAGAACGTATGGCCACGGTGTCACCACATGGAGGGACAGGTAATGCTGTGACACGAAGTACCATTAACTAAAAAATGTGACTGTGTCACATACCCAATGTATGAAAGCAGCTGATTAAGAGGTTTCAAAGCATTGCTGCAATCAGTGAATGCATCATGACTACTGCCTGGTCGCAGGGATACCATGGGGCTTGGGGATGCTAGACAGTGGTGGGTGCTGCTGAAGCTTTCTGTGAGACTTAAACCAGGAATCTTGTCAAAAAGGAGATAATTAGTTTTGCAAACCAGCACCAACTATATTTTCTTCTTTTAGTTCTCTCTTGATTAACTTCTATAACAGCTGTTCTCTTATTTTTTTCAGCATTGATGTTGGACTGACACGTCTATAATTATCTGGGCCATCTTGCTTATCCTGCTTTATAATACTCATACACTTTCTTCTCACTTTATGCCAGGAACTTGCAGTGAGATTTTCAGCCAGCTCTTAAAAAACCCTCTGAATGTTACATTACATATATATACACATAGCTTTTTAGGTGCAGCATAGCTTGATTTTAGAAAATTTTCATAGAAAGTGATTATAAAACCTGATGATAATTTGATAATTTAATAGTGGCAGAATGAGACTCCTCATGTACATCATCCTTACTGGGGCCCCTCTTTGCTCCACATTTTCTATCTTGCTATAGCTTCTGATGCCTAATGAGGTTTTAGTGGTCTGTGCCAGAAATGTGTTAGTACGTCTTCTAGTATTTTGTCTGTGATTATTCAGTAGGGGATGTCTCACATGTTTCCATGTCTTCCGCAGTCTCCTGTTTCCTTGTTCATGCCTGTGATTACTATATCCAGTGCATATGTAACATCCAAGTTTTGGGAGGTGTCTTCCTGAAACTGGAGTCCCCAAATGTAGGATTTCTGCTTAGAAGCCTGTAAGTTTATTTTCCTTGCTTGTTACCCAAGCTCATGGCTTTGAGACACAAGCAATTAAAAGTGTTTTCTGCACGTTCTTTGACTGAAATTCTTGTATCACGTTTATTTGCTAAATGACTCCCCTTTGCAACTTCACTTTTCAACCCCAGCTTCCCCCTCTGCTTTGCTCAGCTTCCCGTGCACAACTGGGGATCAGCATTGTCCTCATTCTTAGCCATCCTGCCCAGACAGATGAAGGCATTTTCCACAGATCCATGTCAAAATGACTGGCAGTCCTGCCCAGCTCACCGTGGTGAGCTTTTCCTACATCTTTGTATAAGACATATCGCTATCTTTGCCAAATCTGACATAAATTTCCTAGAGAGACACAGGACGATTAAGGACATCCCGACAATTAAGGAGCATTGTAAGCAGTCTCTCACTTGATCTATATTATTGAGGGACTATGAAATGTTTAAAATCTACATGGGAATCACGGGGGTGGGAAGCAGGCATGAGGGTGGTTGTGCTGCATGGATATTTGATGGTTTGGACTTCTGAGTACTTAACTGTGCATCCTTAACGTTTGTTTAATGTTACCTTTGTCGATCAAATGTATTTGAACTTTTAAGGAGTTAATTGCTTTTCACACTTCTGCTAGTAGCTATCTCCTTGATCTAATAGAAAACTGAACTTAATTGAGCTTGTTCCAGGGGGATTAAAAAGGTCTTTTCCACCTATTGTGTCAATGATTTAATGGAGTGTGCATGTGGCTATCTTTTTAACGTGTAACCGAACAAAGTCACTCTGGTACCTGTGTTTCCCATATGTTTCACACACAGCTTCACACAGCTGCTCTGGAGTGACAGTGCAACAAACCCTGCTGATTGCCAGACAGAAAATACAAATTCATTAGCCACCTTTAATGGTTTGCAATGTGAAGTTTAGCAGTCCAGCTGTGTATATGTATCAGATTCTGCTTCTGGACACACACCGAAGATGATTTCATGCTCAAAGTCATGCTCACCCTCAAAAGTCACACTTTTGTCAACTTCAGTGGATGAACAGAGGCTGCTCTGGTTTTAATTACACACATCAAATAGCAAAAAACACATCAGGTGTTTTTGCTTTCTCTAAATATTGGTGAGAGTTAGCAGAAAATATCTTTAAGAAGTGAAACGTTCTGACAAGAATGTCTCTAAGCACTCTTACCTAAAGGGAGATAAAAATTAGTACTTATTTCAGTGTTTAATATATATACAGGTAAATACTGCTCCCAAACATGTCACTATAGGCCTATCTGACTAGATAGATGTAGATGCCAGTTCCCTATGTGTAGGATTTCCACCTGAAGCATGAGAAATTTTGGAAAATAAGGCCATAATATTCATTTGAAATCTTGGCCTGCCCTAAAGAGCTCTATGAATTATTCAAAAGAGAAATTGCAGGCTGCACAACATTGTGTCACTTTTCAATGCAACGCAGGGAGGCAGGAGGCTCCTGGAGTTTCACATGGCTGCTAATTAAAACCCAGAGGATTTCAAGAAAATTGTGGAGAACAGAAAAGATAAAAGAGGAACCCAAATGAAGTTCTCCAGCATGCTTTAAAGAAACACTTTTCAATAGAGATTTAAATAATAAAAGTATCTGTAAATAGCCTTTGTACTGAACTATTCATAAGGTAAAAGAATACAAATACCTTGGTTGCCCCTTTTAAGTGAAAAAACAAAAAGTAAAAAAGAAGGTCAGCATCACTTACGGTTCTTAGCTGCTTTGGAAGGATCCAGGTGAAATACATACTCCTTTGTAAGGACAAAGTCCTGTAGTAGTTCTGGTGCCTTAATATATATCCTCCCTTGTCAGGCTTTTCTTCTCACTGATAATTTCGGAGTGGGATAGGAAAGGTTAAGTCTTACCCAGAATGAAAGATATCACTGAAGCCAGCAATGATTTCCAGAAAGAGAATATTTAAAACAGGAGAGTGACTACTTAGAATGTGGCTGTTTGGAAGGTGTGTAATAGAAAGCCTGAGAGATCTGTGATAATTTTTGCTTTAATTGCATCTGAGACGTACAGCGCACTGACTGCTATTGCAAAAAACAGGCTCTTTCTAGATCTTTGTATTTTCTTGAATGAAGAGATTGAGTTCTTCCTCCCTTCTCCATATCCCCAAAAAAGAAAACTAAGGACCCAGAGTAATGCGAGAACCAGGAGAACACTGACGGGTTTCTATTACCCTGCCAAATGCTGGTCTGTTCATTCTCTTGAAATTAGCCAGTTCTTTCCTTACACTGATCAAAAAATGTATTTATTAGTCAGCTGTGCCTGACATGCCTGTTGTGAGACCCTGGCTGGCAGCCCCCTCTCACAGAGCGTGGCTGGCCCTTGACCAGGGGCAGCCTTTAAAGGCCACCAGGATGTCAAAGAGCTGCTGCTGGGAGACTCACCAGGAGCGGCCCAAGGAGTGTCCTGCACTGTGCCCATACCCCTACCCGCAGCCCTGCTCGTGCTTCCCTCCCTCCATCGGACCTGGAACACCTGGGCATTGTGAGCTGGCTGCAGGAAGTTGCTACCAACATGCCCACTAGCAATCTGTCTGCAATGACCAAGTTCTGCATTGTGATTTTGCAGGATGTAAATTCTCCTGTTTGGAAGAGAGATGTGATAATGATCCTCAACTGCCTCCAAGTGCACACATTTCTCATTGGGAAGATAAGCATGATGATTTGCTGCTTAAAATGTATTTTTTGTCTAAGTTTCAAAGGCAACTGGCAAAGAAAAAGCACCCAAAAGACAGGAGAATAAATTGATATTTAAAATCTTCTTATCAAAAACCCAAATATACCACATTTCAGGTGATATTTTTATTTGTCATTAGTGTATTGTTTTTATTTACTACAAACTCTAAAAACAGAATAATAAGAGTCAACACTGGAAAAAAAAACCATTGTCTTCCTTTTGCTGAGGATTTCTCTATGCACACCCTAGTTCAAGGTAATACAACTTCATGACAAATTAAATTCAGATATTCCCACTTACCATTTTTATTTTTACTAAAATGATCAGGATATTTATAATAATCTTGCAAAATTATTACGATCATTTCTAAAACAAAAACCAAATAGGTGCTCAGCAAAGGAGGCTTGTGCATATCAACATATCACTGGCAAAATCATAGGTTATGCATACGGAGCTTTCCAGTCAGTGAACAGATAAATATATTTCCAACATCCCTGTAATTTTTTGCAAGGAATGTAAACTGCTTTCATGAATGGACTTCGTGTGATTTATGCCTGTGAATTGTACATCTCCTCTGTTTCTCTCTCTGG